TTTCATTTGATCATGAACACAGGTCGATTAGGGTGTGGGATGTGGATGTGTGGCGTATGTGGATGTGGGTGTATGGAGTGTGGAGTGTTTGGGTGTGGGTGTGGGTGTGGGTGTGGGAGTGTGAGTATGGTGTGCGACTATGCCTCTCCTCATCATCCACACTCACACCCACACCAACCCCTTCTGTAAAAAAGTTAGGCCAATATTCAGTCGAAAAAAAGCAAATGCTATCCTTTTCCCATCCTGACGCTGAGCTATATTAAATGCGTGCAATTTCATCAGCCGATTGTATAGGTATTTGATCGATATATACATGAAGAAGCTGATTCTGAATGAAGACGATGAATTTTGAAAATGGTCACCCACTGTATTTCCCATGTCAGACAGTGTGTAGAATACATGCATGTTAATCTAGTGCTCAAAACTCATCTAGAACAAGAGATTGATATAAATAATAGTCAAAGCTTTACAACTAATTATTACAATTGTATTCCGATAGCAGTTTCATCAAATAGTTGTGCTGAATAAGAAGACACTACATGAAAGATTGATCATCTGTTAGGGTAAATATGACTTAATCAAAGTTAGCTAGGTTTTCACATCGATTTTTGAAAAATCAATTTCTCATTTGCATTCGATCAGTCTTTCGACATTTCAAGATATAAAGGCGTCACATGATAATAAATGACTCGATGCGGTAGAGTCTTTGGTTTGCCGATTCTTTCACTTTTGTCATACACTGGTCGTCTTACTCTCATATAGAGAATGATCATTGCAGAATGCAATACCGTTTTCACTTCACATTTAATTTTTTCCATGATTTGATTTCGAGTGATCACAGGCAAATCGTGACAATTCAATTGCAAAGTAGATTTTTTATCAGGCGAAAAAAAAATAATGGTCAATGTAATAGAAAGTTTAAGCCATGCAGAACTGAAAGTTAATAATAATTGAGTTGAACTAGACTGCGTTTTTGGTGGTCAAGTAATCAAAAATGCTGGCACATGCCTATGCTTTCTTGATTATATCCGGAGAAGTGTAAATGCACTTTTATGAAACAGTTTTGAAATATTCTTTTTATTTTTACTTGTTTTCTACTTTGATTCATTTTAATTCTTCAAAAATCGAAGGGTGTGGATGTGATTGAAGAGATCATATATCTCCACATGCACACATCCACACCCACACGCACACCCATGTGATTTAGATTATCATTTACCGTCTCATGGTTATTCTGATATTGATAAATTTCAGAATGATTTATACAAATATAGTATATTATGTGCTGTATCTCGTCAAGATTGGAGATATGTTTTATTGCTAGACGAGAATGAGCCTACAGGTCCATTTGATATGGACTTGATTGATCCTCATGTTGTCTTAACATCTGACCGCATTGATTTTGATATCAATAATTTATCATTAGAAAAAGATTATACACATGAACTGGGAATGCGTATCGATATTGAACGAAAGCCTTATTCAATTGAATTGGAAACGATTGTTGATAATATAAAAAATAAGCGCTTTCAGCTCCTTCGTCATCGTGATCCCCCTGTTAATGAACGTATCGACAAGATGACGCAAGTTCGTGGATGGACACAAATAGGACCAGATTTGTCAGTTTTACGAGACCCACATTTCAAATATTGTGCAATTCTTGTACCATTATCACGATCAACAGCTTTATATACAGGTATATCGAATAAAATGGAAAAGTATTGGTTTCAGTACAAATCATATCTATAGAAGAAAAAAAAATCCATATTTGGAAGAGACCTACGGAGGAATGAAGAAATTAATTAGAAAACAATGTGCACAACACAATCCGATTGAACAAGAACTATCTCATGGAAGTAAAGGACCTGGAATTGATGGTATAACCGAAGATGGTTACGATGATCGATATTTCAATACTGGTGGTTTATATGGTAAGTAAACGTTGCATGATGTTTTTTTAAGTCAAATTGAAAGTATTTGTCGTTTAGGTCATGGTGCTTATTTTGCTGACGATCCTCAAAAATCGCACAATTATACATCTGTTGATCCAAACAATGAAACGTACATCATGTTTTACAATAAGGTACTTTTGGGCAATTCATCGGTACTGACAGAAACCAATCACACATTAGTTTCAGCACAACATGGATACCATTCAGTGATCGGAAAGCACTCTAATCTCACAGAATACATCATCTATCGCTACGACCAAGCCCTATACAACTTAAAAATAACATACAAAGCTTAACTGCTTTAAAGCTTTTTGGGCTTGACTAATCGTCATTTCTATCTTATCTAGGGTATGGGTGTGAATGTGTGTACTCTTCCAGTGAACACTCACGCCCACACCCTACGAAAATAATCAGTGTCTTCATTTTCTTGATCTACTAATAATTCGTCGCAATAATAAATATGAAACAACAGTCTATCGAAAACCGACAACCATTAATTTACATCTTCTCTATGACAGTAATCAAGCAAGGAAATATTAAACTCAGCTTAATAAAATCTCTTTATGTTCGATAACTACGGCTCTGCTCAAATGAGATTTACCTAAAAATTGAAAGAGATCATTTGATTAAAACTCTACAAGAATATTGCTACCTAATTCACATTATCAAACAAGAAATACGAGAAGTAAATGTAAACTACAAAAACGACTAAACAATCCTCCTTCTCAGTCTCAACTTCAAGCATAAAAAAGAAAGAAATCTATTTTGTTTTTTTCTTATTACGATCAAGAATCTATGGAATTAGGACAAAAAATACAACAAATTTGTACAAAGCTCCTACCAAATTTTACTATCAACCTGAAGAAATTAATCGAAACAGATTAACAAGGATGAAAGAACACCTAAACAATATTGAAAAAGATAAACCTACTTCTCTCATTGCTCAACACTGTAACACTAACAACCACAGAATGGACTTAGATAGTGCTGAAACGCTGGCGTTCGAATCAATATAGAAACATCGAGTTATTAGAAAAAGTCTTCTTTCACACTATACACACGATAAAGCAATAAACGAAATAAAATACAAACTAAACGTATTCAGATTGCACCTTAAATGTGCATTCTATGGGCTCGAAAATGCCTGTTCTAATGAACAGAATGAGCACTCATTCTTATAAATAGCCTACTCATCTATACATCATAGTCATTCTTTCTCTAATTTTCTTTTTTGTAACTTCACCTATGTCTTTCTATATTGTTCGTCTTGTGAAAAATTGTCGAAATGCCAATAATTAAAGACAATGTGATTAGTAAATCTTAATGTTTGTTGCAGTTTTATACTTCATTTTTTTCTGATTTAAAATTTCTACTGCTCTTTCATCTAAAGTTATAATTGTTTGCGAAAGCCTGGGGTTGGGAAGAGGCGTAGGCATGTTGTTTTGATTGTGTCGT